ATCTTAAAGTGGCCAAGTTTGGACAACACTGAACTAAAGAGTTTATGGTTCTGAACTCAACTCATTTTCCTAAGAGGTAAGCTGAATGTAAATGTGGGGTTTCTTTTGTAACATGCATATTTTCCTTAGTTTGAATTTAATAGGGAGGTGTAATAGTATTTAATTCTAAACATTTACAGACTTACAGTAATTAACACTTTTTGTTTCCTCTTTCAGTATTTATCTTTTTTTCTTTTTTTTTTATATATAGAAATGCACGGTTCTCCAGTATCTGAAATTGAAGGCCCTTTCAGCACTGAAGATGCAGCAAGCACTTGCGTATCAACAATCTCTCTCCATGAACCAATCTTGTGGATTCTGTCTTACACTCTCATGAGTGTCTGTGGACTTATACTTCTCATACTCATCATCTTGCTGCTTCTTCCACCACGGTGTCATTGCTACGCTGACAGCGACATTGTAAACGATGAATCATCCTTAGTACGGCATAGATGGAAATGAAGAATTTGACCAAATCATAAGGAATCCTTTTGTATTCTGATAGGGAAATGAAGGAGGAATATTTCCATTTTCTTCACCCTGATGTTCTTCAGATGGGTTGGGACTACAGTCCAGTGCCTCTATATCAGCATGGTTATATTAGCTGAAATTTACAGGAGGAGGAGGTTGAACACATCTGCAGGGCACAAGATTAGGGTATTTTAGCCAAAGGTGACAGTCCAGGCTTCACTCTGTAGAAGTGGTACAGTCAATCACCAAATCATCTCCAATTCCCTTGTAACATAAATTTAATTCTTTAACAATGAATTATTTTAGCCATGTTAATATATAATCATTTCAAATGCTACTCTGTTGTTTGCAGTTGAGCCAGTTAGTACACTTAAAAAAAAAAAAGCTAAAACTTTATTTCATAGTTCCAAGAAGGTTGTCATCTCCACAAAACAAAAACCTAAAAAGTACTCTTTTGATAAGCCATTCATCAGACTTGCCATAAAGAACAGAAATATTTCTTGCTCTTTGATTAATATTTTTTTCCATTAAAAATATCTGTTCCTTGGTGAATCATATCTTCATCAGTGATTGGTGGAAAGGGAGATCAGTCATTAAGCAGGAAGAAAGCAAGGCAGACTAAAAAAATGTGTTTTTTTTCCTCTTTTAAATAGAGCGTCTGTTCCTTTCAATGGTCTACTCTGTGATTCTTAGAAAAGATGAAGCAGGGGAAAACACACAAACCAAACCCATTGTGCAACTTTAATATGGAACAAGACTGCCTCTTTACAGGGATTCAATTCACCAGTAAGATGTAGGTAGATCTGGTGGACATAGATGCAGATCCCTTTCCACCCGCATACAGCACAACTGGAACAGCCCTTTAAAGCTTTTCTCCCCCTACCCGCCCAGCCCAGCTCATGACATTTTAGCATTTACAATTTTACCACCCACATAAGCGTCCTGGTTTTTCTGAATTCATGCATAAATGATCTTTGAAAGAGTTCTTTGAGCCTTTGTACATACAGTATATCCTGCAAAAACAGCATGGTTAAAAAGCAAAGCCAGTCTCTCCCTCCCTCCCTCCCTCTTTGCACCTTGTGGAGGCTCTAATGACTGGAAATCAAACTTGCAACAATCCAATTGAAGGGGAATTTCTTCACTTAAATGACTCAACTGTGACCTAGGCTGGGAAAGGTGAAGACCCTTTCCATGAATAATTGAACAATTAATTAGTTAACAATGATATTTTTTTATTGACTACCATTTCAGCATATAACAAATACAATGCTAGCAGGAACTTATTTAAATATTTTTGCCTACACTAACACTCCTTTGTCTTTGCATTGCCATGTGTACTTGTACCAGTAGGCCTTCACAGTACATGAACTTGCATTTAGAACAATGCTCATGAATGTGAGTCTTAACTTAAAAACTGTCATACTAGAAACGTCCTGAGGTTGGTTAGTGTTACTCACTTCTCCAGATTCATTTCCTTGTACATGAAGAAACCAGTTTTGAAGAAGTGGACTATTTTTACTGCAAAGAAGTACCAGTAGTTTTCCTTCCTCAAAATAGTGATTATTGCAAAAAAAAAAAAAAGATTTGTAACACAATCCAAAATCAGATTATGATCAAAATTGCATTTATTCAGTTCTTTTGTAATTACTTTTTTAAAAAATGTACTAAACAGCAGGGCCTGATCATAGGGTAAGGAATAAGCTGTTATCTCCATGAGGGACAGCAAAAGCCCTGGCAATTTACAGACTAGCTATGCTGATTTTGAAGGAAAAAATAATGCAGTGACAAATGTGGTGTTCTCAGATTACTCTCGAATGGCTTTGCAGACCTTTTATTGGTGCCTATTAACTCTCTTTTGGAATGTCTTTGGGCTGGAATGCCATAAATGCAAATACTTGAAAACAATAAGAAAGAGGGACACTGTGTGAGCTTTTAAAAAGCTTCTAAAAGCTTTGTCGCTGAAATATTGCTAACAAAGACTCTACTCTCTGACATTTGCTTGTAGCGCAACTCCCACCCATCCATCTAAACCGAGAGGAAGGGTGGCAGCTGGGTAAGTGTCACTGTGGCTCAAGCAGCAGGAGATGCTGGGCAATGGTGGGCCAAGGTCCATTTTTAAACTCAGAACACACTGCAAGTGTAACATGGAAGGTGAAGGGCCATGAGGTCTCAAACATTTCAACTGACATTTTCCTTATCATAAAGGTTATTTATACCTGTAAATAAACTTTTGTGTAGAACTTTCTATAAGCAAGTTGACTGATTAGTTAAGGACAGGTTTTGTTTAATGCATTACCCGTTACTTTTACAAAAGGTGCTTTCCACAAGAAACACAAGAATTAAGCTATTCTTAATCTTCAGTCCAGTGGAAACAAGAAGTAGGCTCAAATCAAAGCACAAAGGGGATCCAGTGTAAGAGTTAAGATGATTGACAACCCCCATGCGGGGAAAGACTACTACTAGACTAGTACTTTAGACTGCAGGTGGGGGAGCAAGCACAAATGAGCTCCTTTCAAAGTTGCATTTTCAGCACCAGCTTGTCAGGTGAGACTAAAATCTTCATTTGGTTTTGATGGATATTTCTCCCAGCTATCTGAAATGGTTCTATCTAGATCTCATGGACTGATCTGATTATATAAGATACAGTACCCAACGCATTTATATTCTGTCGTGAAGAGTTTGTGGTGATCTGAACTTTGGTGCAGAACAATTTGTAACAAAATTTCCATAATATTTAAATTTATAAAAATGCTCTTCACCCCTTGCTTCATCATGCTTACCATCTTTTATCTTTATTTTTTTTAATACATTTATTAAATTTCAAACAAGAATAAAATACATTTTTATTCTTTTATTTTATATATTTTATTGATTTTATTGTCATTGCTTTGATTGTTGAGAGCCACCCAGAATCATTGAGAATCAGGCAGCATACAAGTTTAATTTATTATTAATATTCCTTAATGGTGGCAGTTTATAAAACATTACATTTCTACATTTTGCCTTCTTCAGTCTAAAAAGGACTAAACCCTATCTAATTTGCAGTCATGTGCATATTTAGTTTACCTCAGAGCAAAATGCAGTGAGTTGAAATACATCACGGCTCCTAAACTATATTTCACAATTAGGGAATTATACATGTCTTAATTCTGTCTAAAATAGCACTACTCAAAGTGTTGGTGGTGGACTGGTGCTGGTCCGTGAACTCTTTTTTTCTGGTCCACAAGAAGATAAGTACAGAGAATCCCTGGGTTAAGAACGCCTGGTTTAAGGACAACCCATAGGAACGGAGCTTATTGTAGCAAAATTTGAGTTAAATGCACAATGATTCAAGTTAAATACACAATGGTTTGAGTTAATTACACAAAACTACTTATACAGTATTATACAACAATACTGTTCCAGCTTTCATACAAATTCGACTTACGGACCTTGGGAACAGAACTCATTCTTAAGCTGGAGACTATCTGTACAAAATTTGAAAGTAAACATTTAGAAACTTTTATAGCAATTTGACATTGCCATGACATCCTACTGGTCTGCAACAGATTGGAAATAAAAAATTAGTCCTTCACTGAAGATCGTTGAGATGCACTGATCTGAAGAGCGTTCCAGTGTTTCTATTCCTAAGGCCTGGTTGAAATCCAAAATAACAATGCCTACAACCCTCTTTCCGTTAACTTATTCCTGTTTATTTAAGAGTTCCTTTGCTGATTTCATCTTCAGAAATACCTTTATTTCTTTTAAATGAACACAAAGTTTGCTAGGCTATGAAAAATAAAATGAGCGCAACTTTAGCATATAGTATCGCCAGGAAATGTTTGAAACATTTATTTAGATTTTATTCCTGACTAATGTGAGAATTCTGTATGTGAAAATAAAGTATCTGCTGTGAGGCTTTTATTATGGCACGCACACACATGGTCAGAAGTAAACTGAATGCTGCAAAATCTATCAG